GCGTTTTTTTTTCCTCCCTGGCGGAAACGGGCTTCCATATAATTTGGATTTACAGTTGCAAAAAATATTTTACAGATTGTTGAGCAGGGATTGTTGTAAGACAGCTGTGTGATTTTTTTCTCTACATCAATTTTAATAATTTCAGGTTTGTAACTAATTTTCCATGTCATATACAGCCATTTGTTGGAATTTTCCATGTATCAAAAAATCAGTCATTATATGGTTGCTACAGTCTATGTAGGTAAAACTGCATTAATCATTTTCCATCCACTTTACCCTAGGCATCAGTTATCTAATCTGATTGCCTTAATGAGCCTTGCGTTTGTTCTCCTGTAGTCAATATATTATTTTTAAGGAATATTCTTTATCGCTGTAGAAAAAGATTATCACTCTGGAAAATTGCTCTTTGGGAAGATGCTAATAGATGCTAATGGTACTGTCCTTGTGCTGCTTTACAACTGAGATTAATAGAAAGCTGCACCAAAAGAGTTTTATTAATTAATGTCATTCCCCTTGTACTTGTAGCTAGTGCATCCAGAATAAATGAGCAGTGTCTTCTGGCGGCAATAATACTGTTAAAGCTGACCCCACTGCCTGGTCTGAGCTCATTGTATGATTATCATTAACTGCACATGAAAGTTCTTCAGGTTCTGTTTTATAATGTGTGTTTTGCTCCTCATTGTTTATAGTTGAAAACCACAAAACTTTGTTACAAAAGAAGCCTCAATTATCTACACCAAAGGCATGTGTCATATTGCTGTAGTTTAGAGTACACACTTGGGAAATATGAGAAAAATAAAATCTTTAAATTGTCTGCTTTCTGCTTCTGTGCCACTTCCATCTTGAGTTCGCCTTCTCTGATTCGCTTTAAACATTTTTATTATAAAGGAATTCGCTTGTAATATTAAATATTAAATTCATTATTGCAAAAATAGATACACAATAATATAAATATATTAGAAATTAATGTCAGAACCAGAGAATATTGATAGATAGAAGTGTATGTACTGGCTTAGAATTTTTTTAATTTGCATTGTACAACCTTCCAAATCAATATCTCTCTTGAAATTTATTTTTGATTTTAGTCCAGTTTACTGTTTACTTCAATGTTTACTGTGACCTGCAGAAGGAATGGGTAGTCATAAGAATTTGATTATTTAAATTTCATGTTAAAAGCAATCGTGTGTCCTTTGACAATTAATTTTGCTGAAATTCTGACCCAGACTAGGATAGAGGAGGGAATCAATTCTTTTAATTAGTATATACCTTTAAGTTGAATTGTGTCTACGTTTTTACATAGACAAAAACTCCATGAAGATGTCTATATAATGTGAATATTTTATCATATTTAAAATAAGAAAGATCACTTATTAGTGCAAAAATCCTGCTCAGTATGATTTATTCTCAGTTTACACAGGAACAATGTACAGTACATAAAAATGTGTACTCAAATAAATGTCACACCTGACACAGAATAAAAAAAAAACTTTTTTTTTTCTACAAAATCAATTCATGGGCTTTTTCTAAAAAACTACCATTTAGTTTAGAGGTGCCATCATAGACAACCTCAATAATTAGCTTCAAAACAATGCATTGGCATTGATAACTTGATAACACTGTTGATAACAGTGATCTAACGGGAAAAAAATGGTGAAACAGCAGGGTTTTTCTTCTCTTCCTGTTGTTAGTGATACATTAATTGAATTGGTACACGTATTATGTCGTAGAACTGTATAAACTTTAAGTTTAAATGCAATCGAAGTCAAGTGCAAAATGTCTAATACTTTCCCTTCTTTGTCTTGAAGGTTCCATAGGTTCTGAGCTGTCAAACAATAATGTCAGTATGTTTATAACGTCAGATGCCGGTAACACCTGGAGACAGGTAAATAAAGGTAGAAGTGAAAAGAAAAGCTGTAGAGTGGTGATTTTTCAAAGATTGATGTGTTCGAAAAGGTTGTCTTCATAATTCAGTACTGCACTTACTTCCTGTGTGGGGGACCCCTTCTTTTAAAGTAGTGGATTAAATTCCAGCTACTCCGTAATAATTTCAGTCAAGGATCTGACATGTAATCCCAAAGAGCCTAACAATTTCAGAATTAAGCAGAGCAAGAACCCGGAGCCATATCAATAAATGCTGACCGTAGTCCAAGACTCATAGCAAAGTAATGTGCTATGAAGCAAATATTTATAGTGTGAAACAAACTGTACTCTAATATTAAATGTATTGAAAGTACAAATGTTTGAAAACCAATTTGAAAATCTGAAAAAATGTAATTACTGAAGCTCAGAAAGTTTTAAAGAATTACTAAAGCCAGGTAATCAATTTCACATGAGCTAGACTAATGCATATAAAACTACAGTATATCAACAAGTAGGACCCGATTCAGAATAAGGAGTGAAATAACAGTGAAATCTGATATAGTAATTGTTCATTGCATCTATATAAAACCTAAGCTTTGACTCAAATACCTTGTAAATCATTTGGCAGAATTATCCCTCAGCAAGCAAGGAGTAGGTGGACAAGGTGAAAGTGCAAATCTGTGATCAAAGAAAACATACAAATTAAGCACATGGAAATGGAATCCATAACCTCAGAAATTATTCGAGAACATCCTATTATATGATTAATCAGATATTGAGTTGTTTATAATTGAGGGCCCTAAGTCCAGCCAAGGCCTAAAAGAAGCATTTTTTAATGAAAAGTTAAATAAAAGGGGCAAACTGGTAACTCATTTCATGACAGAAATTATACCCTGACCTCATTTACTGTAGCTTCACACTTCAGCAAGGCAACCAATGCAACACAAACAAGTATAAACAACAAGCTCTGAAAAATAAGGGAAATGTAATCAGATAATGGGGGAAAAAGTACAGGACGGATGCTGACATCACATTGGAAGCTACAGTACAATCAATCAACCTCTTAGTTATTCAATACATTATGTATTACTTTAGAATACTTGAATACATTTCAATACTCGTGCTTTTAATTATATATATTTTCTGTAATGTACAGTACTTGTATTAGGAAACTCATTCAGGAATTACAAACTTTTGCCCATGCTCCCTATGTTTATAGTAATTGTGGACCCTCACCTGTTTACCAATAATTGGTGACAAGGGTAAATTAGGTGACATGCTAGTCTGTGAGAACATTAACACAGACAATTTTAAACTTCTTTTAGTGTTCTAACACCATGTTATACACATTTCTGACTTTTAACTAACCTGGGCCTCAGACTGAAATCCACTTGCTTTGGGTATTCATTTTATTGAAAATGAAAAATTAACATTTTTAATGCAGTTCACTTAAGATGAAGTACACATATCATGTAATTAAATATTAAGTGTTTATAGACAGGTTTATACAGTTTAAAGCACAGATAATCATGAAAGGTCTGGTTTTAAGGAGGTGTATTCAAACTTTTGACTGGTACTGTATACTGTATAGCCTTAATTTCATTGTATTTCAGTCTATTTATACCTTTGATAATTGTAGATATATATGTAAGTTTTTGTGTATGGCCTTGTCTTCTGTCTTTGTCCAAACACAGACACTAAAGTTTGTTATAGTAAGCCCACATATTGACTGTATTCCCGATTGTCATGAATGTGTTCATAAAAAGAGTCTGTGATCTTTTCTTTTCCAGATCTTTGATGAAGAGTATAGTGTTCTTTACTTGGACCAAGGTGGTGCTTTAGTTGCAATTAGACACACACCTCTTCCTATCAGACATCTTTGGTAATGCCAAATAATAATTATTTTTTAAAAATAACTCCTGTTCAGTATATCTTCCAGACACTTTTCCTGTAAATCTGATAGCCAATTATATGAAACAGTGAAAAAAATCACCTTATTATCAGCAGGATGTTGTTTAATTACACCAGTTTCAGCTACGTGTGCATACCCTTAAGACAAGAAGTATTATTTCAAACACCTGCACAAGGTGCATTAGGTGAAACTGTAGAATTTTTCTAATTAAGAAAATATTTACATTTGTCATCAGCTGTGATAATGACTACTGTTTGCCTTAAGCTGAATAAAAATAGGTCACCTACATAGCAGGGAGATGTGAGATTTTTTAGTTTTGAGTATACATTTACTAAAAATACCCCAGATAGAGGCACAAACAAACAGGATGATCATTCCACATTTTACATTCCATAAATTGCTTAACAATAGACAGTAGTTGATCAGCATTGATGTGAAAATGTTTGTTAATAGTTCAGCATGTTTTGCTCATCATAAAGGGTTGGATTTTGTGATGATTATTCAAATATATTTTGAAAAATTCCAAAGTCTGTTATTACATTCCATTATATTGCATGAAGCCTGCCAAATAAAATTAAATATTCGTGCAAACCTGGCTAGAAGTTTGGGTGGATAAATGGTGAATGAATAACTATTAAAAATGATTTGGGATTATGGAAACTTGTCAATACCTACAATGAGTTTCTCACTCTTTAATCCACTTTACAGTATTCCTTTCTGTTTTGATAATCAATAGGATGAGTGAATTATTAAAAAAAAGTTTTCCATCCTGTTGCTGCATAGGTACTATATCATATGTTATGAGTTAAGGAAGAGGGAGGTTATTTTATATTTCTCTGTGGGAATTCTTTTTTGTGGACTCTGATTTCCTCCTACTTCACACAGGCTGAGTTTTGATGAAGGCAGGGTGTGGAATAAGTACAGTTTCACTTTCACCCCCCTCTTTGTGGATGGAGTGCTAGGAGAACCTGGAGATGAAACTCTGATAATGACGTGAGTGAAAATCTGAAGTGCGGAGTTTTGAACTGAAGTACTGTATCTTTTCTTAAAATAAAAAATAATCAAATCAAATTGAGACACTAGCTGTGGTTAAGTTGGAATTGATGTAGGCTTTTCAAGAGGTTTTTGTAGAAGCAAGAGTGTTGTCCGAAGTCATGGTTTGCAGATGCAAAATCCTGCAAATCAATTTGGCTCAAGAGGTACTTCTGATGGCAAGGAAAATATCTGTAAAAACAGGCCTTTTCTAGCATAGACAGATTTTAGCACCATAGATTTTTACCAATATTCAGTACTACTAGCAATACAAAATCTTTATTGATATAGTAAGAGGTGCTATGTGCAGTGACACAAAGCAAAAAGGAGATGAAGAAGAATTTTGTTTATTTGGCAATACATTTTGTTCACAAAGGATATCAATTTTGTGAACTCTTTGAACCTGTCTTATCGCCCTTCCCTCTTTAAAAAGGATCTTATTCCCGAGTACAGTAACTCAGATCAAAACAAAATTCTTCTGATTTTGAATCAATGACGATCAATTTCTGGTAAGCTAGTGACTGTATAATTGTTTTTTGAAGAAAATAATAGTGTTTGATGGAAATGGTCCATAAGCATGTCATTTTTTAACTTTGGCCAGGCCATTTACTGGTATTATTTACCAGACAGAGAAAGTATACAGTCTATTAATTCAATGATCCAGATAAATCTCCACCCTTTGCAACAAATATGAAGGATTTTCAAAACTGTAGACTTACAATTTTAATATTATAACTGGTTCTCTTTTTTGTTTTTAGTATATTTGGTCATTTTAGCCATCGATCAGAATGGCAGCTAGTCAAAATTGACTTCAGGTCAATCTTTAATCGGAGATGTACAGAAGCTGATTATCAGACATGGCATCTGCACAACCAGGTAAAAATCTCAGCATCTTATATACCCAAAGTTTACCTATGCACTGAAATATTAAAGTAATGATAATTTGCAATGACTCCTCAATGCCACAAAGTACAATATCTGCAATATATTTGTACAATTTATTAAAGGACATAAATGTATTATATGTATATTAAGTAAATTTTCATCTGATGGAATTACTTTAAAGTGAAACATTTAAAAACATTAAACATTTTAAAAACACTTGTTTGCAACATTTTGAACTCTGATCTGAAAGAGGCTCAGTGCAGTAAGTCTTACAGGTGCCTCTCTGTCAACACAATTCTTGTTGTACATTACTGCACTTTTCATTTCTCATGGAAAATTATACTGCTTTGGTATATATCAAAATAAACTGTATTGGTGAACCTCTAAAAACTACAATTCAAACAGAAATTTGCATTAAGCAAATTAAAAATAAAAAATACAGTTTGTTTTGACATACTGTACTTATTTAAACCACTGTATTTTTTGTTATCCACTCATACAATTACTGTTTTTCTCTGGCGTGCCAATTTTCAGTCCTTTTTAATTTAGCATTACTCAGAATGCCAACAATAAATTTCACAGAAACACTGCCAAGTATGAGAGTGAGGAAGATAAATGAGCTCATTGTCTAAGCGAAAAGCATTTGTTACCCAAGGATCATAGTTCCACCACAACAGTATTCAATCTTAACCATTAAGAGGAATAGGCAGGTGCTTCAGTATAGCAGGTATCAGATGGAACTGAAATCACTAGCATGTAGTGTAAGACAAAATCACCCAAATACATTTAGTAAAAAAGAACATACTGTAACTACAATATTGAATTTCACATACCAATTTTAATTAAATTGAGTTAAAAACAAAACAATTAAAAACCATCCATCCATCCTTTTTCAAACTGCTTTATGTAGTATGGAGTCGTAGGGGAGCCAGAGCCTATCCCAGCAAGCAAGAGGCTCAAGGCAGGATAAGCCCTGGACAGGAAGCCACTCTGTTACAGGGCACACACAGACACAAACACACATGAACTCACAAAAGGGCCAGTAAACCTACCAGTGTGTCTTCGGACTGTGGAAGAAACCCCGAACATCCTGAGGAAACCTACAGAAAGATGGGGAGAACATACAGTACAGGACAAACTCCACTCAGATAGAACCCCAGGTCCAGAATTGAACCCCGGACCCAAGCACTGCGAGACAGCAATGTTAACCACTGCTTCATTGTTCCACCCCAATTTAAAACCAACTGGAATCAATCCTTTGATTATTTTAATCATTTTAATGACATTTGAATAGGAAAAATATATTAACCTTGTTACTTTGTCAACCAAGGTCCCCATTACAGATGCTTTTGATCAGCGTAATGTCTCCTTGCAGGGTGAGCCATGCATTATGGGTGTGAAAAGAATCTACAGGAAACTCAAGCCAACAGCCAGATGTGTCATGGGAAAAGATTATTCTGTCACAATGACATCAGAACCCTGTCTTTGTACAGAGTCAGATTTTGAATGGTGAGTGCAAGGGGGTCATTCCACAAAGCAAGACGATAGTCTGGTACTTCTTTATAAACTGAAGTGAGTTGGCACTCAAGTTAATGCAATATTGCAATAACAAAGAAAGCTTTGGGATTTAGAGTTGGGAATTAAATGGGTTCGGGCTTTGTTTGCTTTTCTTCATCTGTGACAACTATTAATCAGATTCAAAAACGTCCATGCCTAAAACTGTAATTAACTAAATAATAAATCTTAATTTTAAAATATTACGATGAAGACATCAGGAATGTTTAGTGGCTAATTTGTACTGTACTTGAATGGGCATCAGTAGATATGCTCTTTTCTTTGTTGTCCTCTTACAATACAATATATTAGAATATACAGTAGATCTAATTTCCTTTTTCTGTTTTTTTTTTTGTGTCTTACTGTGTTTTTATTTTTCTTCTCAAACCCTAGAATCTTTTCAACCCATGTGGTGTGCACTATTCAAACTGAGGTTCCTGAAAGCAATTACTCATCTTGTGTAATAGCTTTCATTAACAATCACAACTCTGCTGTGCATCTGTATGCATGTACCACTAATTGGTGTAATTCATTACCATCATTGTTGGAAAGCACAACTGTGCTGCCTTTTTAATTAGATTAGTGTGTTTGTACTCATTCTAATTAGTTGCCAAAGTTTTCAATCTGTATGTTTTTTCCACGGCTGCTTCTTTCTGTGGAATAAGGGGGAAGAAGAAATTGACACACTGTAGTAGTAAACTTCGGTCACATCTGATAAGACTGGAAGTTTATAAGAATTAAACATTTTGTGGCACCTTCCTTCACACTCTGGAAAAGAGCTGTGTTTTCCTAAGTTGTTTTTTTTTCTTTTTTTTGTACTCCTTCAGTTCACTTTTACACAGAGAGGTGCATTTGACATACACCTTACAGTAGACTGAAAAATGATTTGAAAAACCACACAGAGCTCTGTTACTATCAAACTCTCATCAATCTTAGTCATGCTCTGTTCTGTAACCCATTGAAAAGTGTGCAGTCTATTAAAAGCTCAACATGGCATGCATTTTGTTAGTTTAATAAAAAAATGCATCAGGTAAATTTATGACAACGGTAGTAAAGTATGCATTTCTAAGTGGATTTATTCTGTAATGTACACATACATAAATTTTAAAAGTTTGACATCACTTCAATTTTGCTTGTTTATATGCAAAAAGCCCATGAATTGTATTATAAAATACTGGCAGTAGAAGTGATATTAATAAATAGGGTCTGGATGGAACAATGAGGCAAAGAACACTTATGAGACCTGCAACAATTCCCAAATTGTCATTAACCTGCCAGCAAAACCCAAGGGGTAACCTACATAATTCAATATGAACACCTCACCATACATAATTTGGAGTGACATGTATGTTGCTGTGACATGTGCTCAGTAGAACGTATGAATTAGTGCAAATAAAAAAAGCCAAGGTAACAGGTTCAACACCATGGCTGGGTAAGCTTGTTCCAGACTCCCATAACCTTTTGTGTAAAAACATGCCTGCTGGTTTCCATTTTCAAAAGCATTTTCACATAGTTTCCATTTCTCCTCTTTTTCATGTTTTACTATTGATTATGAAGAAAAGGTGACTTTTTTCAATATCTTTGAGATGGTTGAATACTTGAAAAAAATTACTTTTAGTCTTCTATGTTGCACAATTCAAGTTAGAAGCTTTTAGCCTTTCAGTATAGCATATTCGTTTTAAACTGGAATGCTCTTCCGTGGTCTGATTCCAAAGCAGCAATATCTTTTTTTGCACTGTGAAGACCAAAATTGTACAAAATATCTAAATGAGATCTTACTAATGGTGTACATTTTAATATAACATCCCTTTATTTAAATGTTAGGCTTTTAGCTACTGTATATTGCCTAAAATTTTTGATCCCTGTACTGTAGTAATACACTTACCTTAGGAAAGTATCTTTTGTAATCAAAAGATAGTAGAAAGATACTTCTTTTGTTTGGCAGTAATGTGACATTTCCTCGTTCATTATAAGAATAAGAGCCAAATAGACAGGTGAAAATCTCAGATACTGAGTTTGTGTGGACTACAGCATATAAAAATAAAAGGTGTTCTGCTCTTTAAAAAGTGTCTTCACTGTAGGTTTTTTAAGCCTTTTGAAATGACTTTGCATATATTCATGTTTTCTTTATTTTTTTTAATTATAGTAGTATAAATAAAACTGCAGTGTAAACTCATATTGTTATCCATATTAGATATACTGTATGAAGAAAATATATACACTGAACATTAAACCTGAAAAGATCACACAGCCACATTGAAAATCACAGTCTTAGTATAGTGTACTGTATGTCAGGATATTTACGGTTTGTATGGCATTTTAATTGCCTTTGATTCTGTGTTTAATTTTAAAGCCAGTTTAATAGATAAGTATGTTCTTGTATGCACACTGTAGTGATTATGGATATGAGCGAAGAGGAAATGGAAAGTGCACACCTGCCTTCTGGTTTACTCCATCTTCTGTGTCTAGAATCTGCAACTCAGGAAAGAGTTTCCTCAACAGCACTGGGTAAGCGTACAGTATGTAAAAGTCATGAGATTTCTTTTTTTTTTTCATTGTCAGTGAATGTTTTTTCTCCTAAAATGATCATCTTTAAAAGAAACTGAATAGAGTTCAGTGTTTAATCTTTATGCACAATATTTGAATAGGCAACCTGAAATAGACATGAGACCAAGTATAGATTTGTCATATACTTCAAAATACAGCTACATTAATTACAGTGTAGTAACATTTTAATCACCTTGCAATTATGTGACATTTACACTTTGAAATACATATAATTACATTTAAAGTCATATGGCTGATATTGTAACTACATTATGTAATTACTTACAATATGGGAGTTACAAATGTAAACTGTAGAAAGAAGTGAATTTATGTGTGATTACTGGTTCAGTCATAGGATTATTTTTCGCAATTATATCACTGAAAAGTATAACTACCACATTATTAAAAGGTAATTACTATGTTATTACACTGTAATAAATGTATTTGCATTTTCAGGTGTATCCCGTTGATTTATATACCAAAGTGATTCCATCATATATATTCAATCCAGAATTCAGTAAAACTGGCATCTTGGGTGCTCTGAAATGGAAATATAAATATATGTAATAAATGAACTGCCTTTGAACTTATCATTATATTATTATAACATACTGCTTGTTTTCAGTGTAAAAAGCACTGGTATTACAGCATTTTTTTCTCTTTTGCTAACAACTTTTAACATTTTATTTCTGCCACTATGAAGACTGACAGTATAAAGTTCATACAGAAACTTCTACAACTGAATGACATTTGGTACTATTCATTGTCATTCACACTAGCAATGCATCAGTAAATCTGCCACTCTGTAGGGTCTTGTCATAACCAAACGGGTCTACTTGCCAAATTGTAAACAGGTGCGCTGAGTCATACAGGCAAAAATGCAATGGTACCTGACACATCAGCATCCCTTCTCTCATGGGGCACCCTATGGCAAGGTACTGTATGCTCCAGACATATCTGTGCAAATGAAAGCCATAATGATTGCCAGAAGTGCCTGGTATCATGGACAGGCCATATGCATGAGCATCATATCAATCCCTGGCATTCAGAAAAAGAGAACATTAAAAAAACTGAAGTCTGATTTCTCATACTTGAGTCTATCATGATCCCTGCATTTGTTATTGCGACTAATCTGTTACCTCATGCCAAGGGGGGAAGTTTAACACTGTTAAACTAAAAACGTTCAGTTTCATAAAGTGCACTTCATGTTCTTGAAAAGGGCTGATATTATTTGACTCTGAATTTGTGGTGGAATAAGCCACTGGTGATAAGAGTAACAAGAACTAACCCTAGGTGGCTCTGCAGTCTCCATTTAAAAAAGATTATTTCACAATTGTCAAAATAGTATTTCTTCTTCCAATATTCTGCCGATTTGTGTCTGTCAGGTACCGGAAGGTGGTGTCCAATAACTGCACTGCTGGGGTAAAGGAGCTGTACACAGCAAGGAGGCAGCAGTGTCCTAATCGGCCTCCTAGGGGCCTCCATCTCGTCACCAGTGAAGGAAAGCTGACAGCCACTCTGAGTACCAACGTCACTTTCCTCATCTTTCTGGAAGAAGTAAGTACCCTGAAGGGAAATAGACGTGATTAAAGATTTTGTATATTCCTTCCTAGAATAACACTGACAGGGCTATTCTTGTGTCAGAGTACTCTGTAATTTCACCAAAACTGAAGTTTCTCTATCTTCTTAGATACTCAGGCACTTTTGTAATCAAACATAGCCATTTCCTGCAGCCATTGTAGTCACAGGTTCCCACTTACTGACACAAATGTTATCCTTTCTTATGATCATTTACTGAAATGTCATTGAAAAGCCTATATTTATCTCTGTGGTCTCATTTTCAAACCTCAGTGACATTGTAAAGATGCATTAATTTGCTCAATGCTTGTGTCCTACTAATGTGTAAAGTTTATTGTAGTTCAATTTTATTTAGAATTTTCATGATGTGATATGAGGATTTTTTTTTACTTGGTGTACTTTCTATAATTTATTTCTCTTGGATTGTTACTGTGCTTTTTGACTGTGCCTTTTGTATTAAACATTATGTTTTAGGGTGATGGGTCTAAAACAAGCATCATGGTAGATTTTGGTGATGGTAATGCCATATCATACTCCAATGTGAGTTCCATAGAAGATGGGATCAAGCATGTGTACAAAAATGTGGGGATTTATAAGGTGTCTGCTACTGCAGAGAACGGCCTTGGATCGGACAGTGCCGTCCTCTACCTGCACGTAACATGTAAGTTACTCCTGCTGTTAAGTGAGTGAACAGACCACCCCCTGATGTATTTGAGGTTGACAGATATAATGGTAATGACTTATTGATCAGGGATGTTGAGCTCTCCAATCTGTCAATCTGATTTGCCAGAAAAAGAAAATGAGGTCTGGTTTGCTCAGTGTGTTAGAGATGAAAAATAACACACAGATGACATGATTCCCAATGAGAGAGACATTTGTATAAAACTCCATGGAGTGTGAGCTGTTCAGGGATAAAATTTAGGTTATAGGAAGGAGGAAGAGGGGCAAAAAAAACTGAAGCAAAATATGCATGCAGAGAATTGAATCTATCTATTAAATTTTTGTAAAATACTGTAAATGAAAGAATGAGGACTCCAGTCTGTCATGCTGGATGTTTTTTCTGTCCTTGAGTAGGTCAGCTAGAGCACATTCACCTTTCTGCTCCCTTTGTGGCTGTGAAGAACAAAGAAGTCAATCTTACAGCAGTCCTTTGGCCAAGTCAAGTGGGAACAGTCACCTACATCTGGTGGTTTGGAAATAACACTGAGGTTGGTCAATGAGATGCTTTCAGTGTTTTCAGAGTTTTCAGAGCTTACTCAGTAAAGGTATCTAGGTACATTGGCTCTGATACTTTTGTTCAAAGAGGTTTTAATTTTTTTAAGAAGCATCTGTAATTTTAAATGTCAGAGTGTCAGAATATGAATTTTCTTTTAGAAAACCTGTGATAATTTTTTTCTTTTTTTGAACTGATATTACATCTATATCAAACTTCAGCCACTTTTAAGAGATCTATAAAGTGAAAAATATCTGTTTTCAGACATTATATACACACCTGATTGATAAATTGTATAGATTCTCAATACATAAATAAAGTACATTCATTGTAATAACTTATTATTATGATATAAAAGCACATTTTTGTCAGACATTATATATAATAACTTTATGTATAATATACATTTATATATTAAAAATTATATCACCTTCTCCTACAATTAAGTATAAATTATAACCTATGATTAAATTATGAATTAGAAGTTACACTATCAAATAATTAAAGATATAAATACGTCTTAAGTGATTTTTACTCTTCTTTTAAAAAATCTAACTTCTTAAATTAGGATTAATTTTCATTATATAATGTAGAATACAGTGCTCATACTTTTTGCTTTTTTTGTGTTTGTTATTGTGGATGAGTCCTGGGTTTAATGGAAACAACATCCCGTGTCACAGTCACAGAGATGTTACTAAGTGGCAGCTGTTTGCTTGCCTCAGCTTTCCTAAGTTAACCATCCAAATCCAACAAGTACTTGGTTTGTAATTTGCTATTGATACTGTATGTGGGTGGGTAGTGTTGGTTTAATCTGTGTTATAGTCATGCTAAAGAAGTCATTATTATTGATTTATATATTTTGCCAATTTTAAGACCTCTAGCTTTAATAAAAAATCTGGGACAGATTTTTCTTCTCACCGATATTATATGGGTACAGTATATAGAGAGAAACAATTTCAGGGGGTTTATCAAGTCGACAATACCCTTCTTCAGTACAGTGTATATTTTCCATCAGAGGAGGATCAGTGAACTCCACTGTAGTAGCAGAAGAGTAGTGATTTACTGCCTTGAACAAATCTTGAGACTTTAAGACACATCTAAAGTGGAAAAATAAAATTAATTTACATGTTTACAATGTTGTGAAAGTTTCTGTTTCTTCTTTGCAACTTTCCTCACTTCCATTTACATTCCTTTTAATCTGATGCAGAAAAGCTAACACATGCTTTTGGCATTTTCCAGAACTGCTTATTAGTAAGCAATGTGTACTGCCACTTCAAAACATCTTCTTAGCTCAGTTATCTAACGTATCTTTAGTTAATATAATGTCTAACTACTGTACATACTATAGATCTTAACTAAAGCTAAACTTTATGATAATTGATGACTTTTTTAAAGCTTTTTTGCACCAGAGCATTAGAAAAAAAACAAAATACTACCGCTCAGTTTTAAGGGCTTGAATAGTTCAGCTCCTGACTACATCAATGAGCCATTAAGTCCCCTTACACCTACACATCACTTGTGCTCTTTAGATTCTGGCCTTCTTTCAGTTCCGAAATCATGGCTCTGAACACTAGAAGAATGTGCTTTCTGTGCTGTTGCCTAAGGCTGTGGAATGATCTCCCAACTCATACCAGTTCTTACATGTCAGTCAGCACTTTTGAATTCTGTCTTAAAATTCATTTTATACTGTGGCGTTTAATATTTTTTAAATTACTTTATTAAATCCTTTTTACGTGTCTCTTGTTTATTATTATATTGCAAAGCATCACAAAAAACAATATTTTTCACTCGTGTGACCATGTTACCTTTCTTTCAAAGGCAACTTAAAACTATTCAAGAAAAAATATTGTAGGCTTCTATTGTTTACATAGTGTAAATAACCCAATGTCCTCCCAGTAGTCAGGCTGATAAGAAGACCCCAAGGGATACACCAGCTCCTTATCTTTTTTTCTTTAAATTTCAGCCAGTGATCACTCTAGAGGGAAGTGTTGCCTTTACATTCAGCAAGGAAGGAATAAACACTGTCACAGTCCAAGTGTCTGCTGGGAATTCCTTACTGCAAGACAGGAAAACAATTGCTGTTCATGGTGAGAGACTTTTAACTTTTCAAAAAGAAGGAGTATTTAGCTATCCAGTCTACTCATGGAATTCTGTAGGACCTGACTCATTTGTTGGGTGTTAAGCTTTAAAAGTTGCATACGAACTCACAATGTCAATGCTTTAAAGAAATGTCATAATCTTTTAAATTTTTCTAAAAGAATAGCATAATCAGAACCTAGGTTCTACTACTACTATTGCTACCACTACTGCTACTACTAATAGTTCCCTTAACAGTATCTTCTCAAAACTCTTTACAGGAAAAGTAAAAACCACAAACATAACAAATGAAAACTAACAAAGACAGGGAATAAAAAAATAGTACATAGAAAAGGGATTTGAAAAGTAGTAGGCACAAATGCCAAATTACATAAAAGACTTTCTGAAGAAGTATTTGCAGCTGGATTTGAATGCGCTAAGGGTGGGTGACTCTCTGATATGCTTGGGGGTAGAATTTCAGAGCTCTGGGGCATAGCAAGAGAAGGCCCTGCCACTCAGTGAGTGTAAACAAGCTTGAGGGACAAACAGGAGACAAAATCAGATGAACAAAGATTGTGTGGTGGGGAGTAGGAAGATAATAAGTCATATAGCTACTGAGACAATCCATGTAGAACCTTAAAGGTAAGTATGAGCATTTTGAAGTCGACACAAAACCTGATAGAAAGCAAGACTCCAAGACAGGAGTAATGTGATTACTTGCATGCGATATGATAAGGATTCTGGCTGCTGAATTTTGGACCTACTGAAGTTTATATAAAAACTTCATGTACATAAACTGAAATATACCATACAGTATAAAAGAGCAATATAGGTGGGGTGCAGTAGTAATTACTGTTATACTGTACAACCTCTGTTTTACACCCCTTATTCGCTGTTTAAATCCAATTTTAAGACAATTAGTTATGGACAGATATATTAAAAGTGGAATTAAATTGCATGGCTGAGTTGTTGTGTGGATACTGTTATGAAGTTTTATTATTATAATTGGGTTTCTATTTGTTGCCATTATTTTCATTCAAAGTCTCATCAAAGCTAAAAAATATATTAAGAGCCTTTATTTTGCTGTCCAACGAACCTTGAAAAATATAGTGCAGTGTTTGATCTTCATTGAAAATAACCCTCAGATATTATTGCAAAAACATGAATGCAGAATAGCTCAAATAATTTGACTAATTTAAATTTAAAATAGATTTTAGTGAAAAGTACCCATAATCATACTTGACTACCATATATATGTATTTATAATTGATCTTCTCTTTTAAGAATATTTCAGATCACAGCTTTTAGCATTTTCCTCCAATTTGGATGACTATAATCCTGATGTTGCCGAATGGAGACAAGACATCAGTAGAGTCATCAAGAATTCTTTGGTGCAAGTGAGTTGCACCAGATGTTTCCTTTCATCACCATTTGTAGGCATTTGTAGTTGAAGCTATTACTGAATTATCATCAAATAAAGTGTCTTTCCAGAAAAGTGTTCTGTAACAGTGGTGGTGAAAATAGTTTTGGAGACTTACTACATGACCTGAGAAGCTTTGGTGGGTCAAATGTGAAATACCTGCTGTAAACTGTCAAAAACCCTATTCAAGCAGACTGATGACACTTAAAACCAGGGTAATTTTACACAGATAAAAAGAAATTCATGACAATTTAACATTATAAATAATATTCTTCCTCTGTTGCTGTACAAGTTTGAATACAGTAATCTAAGCATTGTTTTTTTTCTTTCCACAAACAATGCATCCCAATGCTTTAGTACACATTCTGTAAAAACTATAAAACCCCAAATAAGAAATGACTGTGATGTAATATTAAATCCATGTTTTTTATTCTTCATGGAAATGATGATAATATAGAAGACAAGAAAAGACAGGAAAAATATGCATAATTATTGGATCTATAGCATGCAAATTAAGTGAAACAAAACGTTCAGATACAGAAGATTATATTAAAATTCACATTTGAACAAGATTAAGTGTTTTATATGATTTCTTTTACTGACCTATTCTCCTTCACTTTGTGTTTTATTATCACATAATCAGAGTTTTCTCTAATGTTTTTAGCAACAAAGAAGGGCTAGTACATTCTAAAGCGAAAATGTTTTTGATTGTAATTGAACAATTCTAATTGCAATATGTATACATGTATGTATATTTATGTTACGTTAGGTCACAGATATTGGTGAAGAACAACTCCTGGTTACAGTTCTCCCTGGCTTACCAACAGCTGCAGAATTCTTTCTTTTACCTGACAAAGAGTTAACAGAGGGGAAACCAGAAAGAAATGCAGCACATTTAGATCAGGTAAAAATATTGTCTCGTTACAGAATGTTACGTTCCTCTCTCAGCTTGACAACAGCATCAAGCTCAAAGAATGATCTTGATTTCAGCCTCGCAGACTATCAGTCTTATTTACATGCTTTTTTACTGTTTCTTTACATCTCTTAAGTACAGATGTCTGGGTGCCTACAGTGATATGAATCATTGTGTTATATTTAGAAGTCAGAGCCACTGGGAAAAAGTTGTTTGAAATTATTAAGGGGTTAACAACTTTTGTTTTGTGAGAGAAAATGTCAGAGATCATGATAATAGGTAATGACTATTGACGATGTTCCTGGCATTTATTGATATTAATTTAACAATAAAACAATGTTGGATCTTTGCTACCACTCTCATTTTACAACATCATGACCTTAATTTTTTAGCTGCAAGCTGGGGACTTTTGAAAGATCTATTTATGCATTTGTTTAGGTATTTTTAGAGTGTTTTTGCATTTTTGGAGTAGTACAATCGTGAACCTGTGAGTGTTGTTGATGGAAGTTTTGATTTATTTTAAAAAAAAGAAAGTCGTAAGACCTTTATGTGATTAAACAAAAACACAAAAACTAAGAGGTTATTTTGCACTCTATGTCTGAATTTAGTCATTCTTCTGTCAGAGAAGTCTTAAATTTGATTAAAAAAATGACTGGGTAGACTACATAGTTTGTGAGATTACCCAGACTTTTGATTGTTTTCTCTGAATTCAAAAGTGTCATTTTTATGACACTTGTACTTTACCTGTTCTGTACATTTTCTAAAAGCACAGTGGAAAAAAGTGATTTTCTGGTATTGAAAACCAGCTTCAGATACTTTCTGGACATCAAAGTATCAGTACAAACATATTTTGAAAGTGTAAAACAGTATTCAATTATTAAAATATATAATTGTACAATAAATATTAATTTCCAATAAAACATAAAAACAAGAAGATTTGGTACTGTTAGAAGTGTGAGTAGTGATTAGATTTATGTAATTGTTTCTTATCAATTGTAAATCTTAATGCTTTCAACACTCAAACATTGTCACTACATCAAACCAGTGTTTTTCTGTTTCAGTGAAATTTTAATGATGTAATATTTATTAGCAAATAACTTGCTTGTGTATGGATTGTTCTTTATTTCTTCATATTTAATGTACTGTAAGTTCGGTATTAACTAGCATGATATAATTTTTTAAAATACATTGTCTTATACACAGCTGTTGTTACTTTTTGTTTATGAACTACTTTTACATAGTATTAAAAATAATTCAAGGTGTTACTACAACATATGAAACATATTTAGTCTCCAGTCTGAAGATGCGGTAAGGTCATAACATGACAGTGTTTATTTTACTCCAGTGTTTATTTTACCCCACTAGATGTCACTGTTTGTTCAAGTTTATGGGCAGTGGTGCCCTTGTGTAACTATATGCACATTACTTATGATATATGCATTGGATACATTAATATTTTAGGGCAATCAGATGCAATAATTAACCTAAAGTGACATATGAGGATGATAGCTTTTAGAGTGCAGACCAAAGAAAGGACCTGTGTTTGTGTCTGTGTAATAACATACAGACTATGTTTAAGATTATTCCAATTTTTGCAAATTCTTATGTACATTGCATATTAAAATCACATTTTAAATATTAACAGCTCTGCTTATAAACAACTTAGTGCCATGTATATGAGTGTGTATGTATATAACTGTGCTAGGGAATGAAAATGAGAGATTATGTCTAATACAAGAATGTGTAAGGTTCTGATTCTGACGTACAGTACTATCAGAAAACATTTTTAAAATCTCCTAAGGATTCCTGTAATTATGTAAGGTGTTGCAAGTTAAGAAATCCGGTTGATCTAATCATAAACAGGTTTTGATTGTCTGGCAAACTATGTAATAAATCATCATTCAAGATTGGCATCTCCAAAGTGCAATGTGTAGGCAGCTTATTAAAAAGTTTAATAGATTTACTGACCCTGATACACTTCAAAAAAGGTAATTATTCATAGAATAGTCTAATTTTAACTACTAGGAAAAAAGAAATCGAGAACTGAATATATTGCTCATATCACAATTAATTTGCTAAATGGGGCAGATAAAATTAATGAAGTAAAGCTGAGAAAGAAAATGAATTCTGGAAAGGCATTTGTTTTGTAGAATATCCTTAAACAGCTGCAAATCATAGTTCTTTCTTCCTTGGCTTTGGGTGTTGGATTAAAAGAGGATAGCAATGCCAGTGAATTAAAGGATTTATGATCTTCATAATAATAAAAATAGGCTGGAACACTTACTTGTTTATGCCATGATTTATAACATTGAACTGTCCCCTCATGCAGTGTTAGCACATTGTGTGTACACTCTAGATCACTTTTATTATTATTAGCATATTACTGTTAACAACCAAACTTTAAAACTGATTGGTTTAGGTGGCGGTAGTTCCTGTTCCCTTAGAAAACACCTTTTTTATCACATTATAATGTTAAGGAAAGAAATATATATGGGCTGTTGGTCAGAGCTAAAAACAAGTTCACCTTTTGCTCACAAAGAAAATGCTTGATGTTTCGAACAAACCTAAAAATGACTATTTGTCTGGCAAACAGCTGAAAATTTAAAATGTCTTCATTTTCAAATATGTATACCATATAATTTTACATATGCTTCAAAGACCATCATAGATGGTGGTGGATGTCATGCTTGTACTTCAAGATACTGAAATTCTAAACAAACCCCCCAAGGGCTTTTGCACCCAATACCACGTCATAGCTTATGGTTCATTTGGAAAAACATCATTGTAGTGTATCTAACTGTTGCATAAGGAAATAACAATGGTGAAACTTTTGTTTGCATTACAATAATGGCTACGGATTTTGGGGTTTAGCCTTTCAGTCTCATGTCAAAGTGAATATAACCATATTTTTCATTAGGTTTATTCTTCCAGCCAGAATAAGCCCACCCCCCACCGAAGGTTCATGGTCACCATTATGCGTGGAAACTAGTCCACTGTTGAAAAGTCATTTACCTTTGTTTAGTATAGCAAACCCACCTATAATACCAACTCCCAGATAGCAGAGAAACAATGGAGAAGGCAGTTTTAAGGGTGTGTTACAGTAGATAAGAATATAGTTCCCCATAAATATGCTCCCCATTATTCGTTGTTCATCTTTCAGAATTGTACAGTATGTGGTATTATCTTTTTAACCTAGTGGTGTTGATATTTTGCAAAAGCCATAAGTTCACCAGGATTTTACTTCAGCAATGGTAACACTATGAAAACCTCTTTATCATTCCCCAGCTTTCTGAAATGTTGCTTTCTGCACTCAACCAAAACTTAATACAGTTCACTCTTCGGCCAGGTGTTCAAGTCACAGTCTATGCAGCTCATTTATCAGCAGGTAAGTTCTATTTAAGTATGCGTCTTGGCTGTGTACTGAAAAGAAAGACTAGATGTTGTCTCAGAAAAGCCATTTTCCTTCTGACTTTGATAATCATTTTAATAATTATCATGAAAACGTAACACAAACAATAATATACCCATACAAAGGCTACTTCAAGCTACTACATGTAGCTGACATATTGGAAAAAGAGGTTAATAATTTCAACTATTTCTTTAAGTATATGTATATTGATATACAGTATATTGAAACCCTATAGAAAACCTGGGATAATTGTGCTTCAGAAAATGGCTGAGTAGCAACCTGAATGTACCAGAATAGGACAGTGTTATGTAATACAACAGAATTTATGGAAAACATGGAATTTGTTTTTACAGTACAAATGTCTATTTTAATTTCTACTTATTATCTGTCAGGTGTAGCTATAAATGTTCTGTTGAGCTATTTTTTGTAAAGCTTCAATATATGCAGTATCTAATTTTGTTTCAAAACAAATTTACGTGAATCCCATTTGCTCTGTGTTTTCCTTCTAAGCTCCTCTTGTGGATACCAGTGAAAGTCACAGTGGCTCTGCAATGCTCATGTTGTTATCAGTCGTATTTGTGGGGTTAGCTGTGTTTGTCATCTATAAATTCAAAAGGTACAGTGCTCTTGATATATGTATTTAGTAGGGATTGATTTATGTATTGTGTCTTACTGGCGGAAACAACTAATTTTCTTAATATCTGCATGTTTGTACTAAATGGATGTCTCTAGTCTCAACAAAGACTAGATTATGTCCCCTTCTATAAACTACGTAAAAACGATTAAACAAGTTCATTTTGATAAAAAAATTAACTTTGATTTAGCTCTTTACAAGAGAAAGGATTATAATGGATGATTATCAATTGCTTAGAAACAAACTTGCAATTTATTATTTTACCTTATTTTTTATTACTCCCATGTGCATAAAAATCCTCACAAGTGTATACAGTACATTCATTTGTTATAATATAATCACAGGACTCAGTTGCTAGTTGTGTTGTTAAATCAGCTTTTCATATCTTTAGTTATATAATGAATGCTTATTGACATATCAGATTAGAATGACTCCTGTTTTGAATACAGGCTTATACTCTAAATTGTGCCAAAATGCACAATTTTGTGTTTCCAAATTCAAATTCAAATCCAAACTAAACACACAACTGGAATTTTCAAACCACTTTAAAATAAATACATCATTCAGTGGCAAAAAGTTATCAATATGCTGTCAAATGAGAAATTGACGTACTGTATCTGTGTAGAATTATATTTTATTAATTTAGAATGGCAAATCCTCGCCATATTTCCAGTCATAAAGAAAGGGGAACAAGTAAATACTTGTTTGTCAATGCTCTTTATCCATGACTTATCTTTCTCTTTCCTCAAGGAAGATCCCAGGCATCAATGTCTATGCGCAGATGCAGAACGAAAAAGAGCAAGAAATGATAAGTCCAGTGAGTCCCATTGAAAGCACTCCTAATGATACACAAAGGGAATTAGTGACTTCTTTGGAGCTACTGGACAAGGAGCTGGATACACGGGCTATAGGTAATAGCAACATTCTTACATACTGGCAGTCCAAACTGCATGGGTTGAAAAATCAGTTAGGTGTTCCTGAATCATTTCTTGGTGCCACAAAACTGGCACAAACAAGAGCCATTTGGCCCATGCTTCTCTGAGTTATTGATAATATTTATTGTTCCAAAGATTCCCCCCATTTCTTGTATTCCTTCTTTTATTGCTTTCCACAGAATTGGCCTCAACAATGTGAATTGACAGTTTGTCCAAGACACGCACTACTCTTTGTATAAAACCGTGCCTCTTGTACTCAATCCTAAATACAGTCATACCGATCTGTAATTCAATGGATGACTTTATCAATACAGTTTGAAATTTGGAAAGTTTGGATTTTCTATCCTATTCCTATTCTGCGCAATATTGAATAACTTCAATATTGAAATTGAATAACTATTTTAGCCTGTGTACAATATTAAATTTAGACCCAGAAGTATTCTGGTTACTCTTCATTCACCTTTTTCATGGGTATTGATGAAACCTGTAAGTCTAAGTGTGGTCTAAAAACCTTATTGTGTAACCCTATAAACATTTTAAATTGGTTCTCCACATTGTCTGGAAAAGGACAGTGATGAGTCAATCTGAACTGCTGCTAACTGGTATAAACTGCTGTGTTGGTGTACAGTATATAACACCTTACGTTTTAAATAAGGAAACATTTTGCATCAATAATAGCGTAACTGTTCTTAAACTATCAAACATCCTAAAAGTTATCTTTAATTGCCAAAGTGCAATGAAAGTAAATCTAAGGGGAAATTTACTTTAACATATCAGTTCTCCACCTAACATGAAGGCTTCCTGTTTGTGCAACTGTACTTTGTAGCATGTAAAGGGCAGTTTGACAACATGTAGTTGTACAGTGAGATGTGTTGCAGTTGGATATTTTAAATTAGTGAATGTACAAGGGAAGAAATATGGCTGATTCTAAATGAATTTAAACAGTGTTTTTTTCTTTGTTTTTTTTTCCACCCAGGATGCATTTCACCACATGCCAACATCAAAATCTCAAAGGAAATCCCCACATATGTAAATGTTTGAACTCTGGGACAATCTATAAACAGTAGTGTTATGGACCTCGCAAACCATTCAGACACAACAAGGTTTTAAGCTTTATACCTGTGCATGTGGACATTTCTGACAAAAGACAGTGCTCCATGGATATCTGAAGATACTATGTACAGGTTTTTTTGTATGTCTCAATGAAATAGCCCATTTTTTGATGACATTTATTTATATAAGGTATGGTACTTCTTATGAAAAGCCTGCATGTATGAGAAAAAACCTTTTGGTTTGCTAAAGTGGCTTTTATGTTTATTTGCTCTATTTTAATGCTAACAAGAGTGATATGCTATTTATTCATGAGAATATATTTCAAAAAAAGGAGAGAAAATGGTTATGGTTATCTTAGCCATTATATTTTTTGTAAATCATAAATGTTTGTGAGAAATGTATGAATTTTAATATTCTCAGCTAAATTAAAAAAAAACTACTGTAAAGCTGAAGAAGAGAAATGTTCAGTTATCAACCCTATTTCCAATCAAAAAATGAATCTGTTTTTTCCTCCTTAAGGAATGTAATATTGCACAACTCATGATACAGATTATTAAGTTAGTTTATTTAAAAAAAAATCAAATTTAAAATGCATTTTGTTATAGCTATATACAGTACAGTGAAAGTTTATATTTTTCATTTTAAATTGTTGACAGTGGGGAAAAGTTTAACCCTTGATTTGTTTTTACTTATTTAAACTCATTGTTCATTTTACATTTTTACAATCTCTCTTTGTTAATTTACAATGGTTCTGTGTTGATAATTGCTTCCCAACATGGTGCCAGTCACGTTAGACTATAATACACACTAAACATTCATCAGGGTAACGATTCATGGTAAGCGAGTATGACAGAAAGTGGTACAGTAAGTCTTTTTCTCAAAAATTTTCAAACCACTTTTCCTTAAAAGAAAATGTATAGCTCTTAACCCTGGTGTCCTGGCCAAATTTCCCATTGACCCTTACCAATCATGGCCTCCTAATAATCCCCATCTATGAATTGGATTCATCACTCTGTTCTCCCCACTGATACCTGGTGTGTAGTTAGCGTTCTGGCGCACTATGGCTGCTGTAGCATCATCCAGGTGGATGCTGCACATTGGTGGTGGTGGAGGGGAGTCCCCATTACCTGTAAAAGCTTTGAGTGGAGTGTCCAGAAAAGCACTATATAAGTGTAAGCAATTATTATTATTAATTATATTGACCTAAAAAGAGAACATAGTACATGTGTTTCCACCCATTTTTTAATGCAAGGTTTAATCATTTTTACAGATATTTGTGATTTAAACATTCCCCCAATTTTCTTCCAACATGAATAGGTGAGACCTCCTAGCTCTTTATTCTTTGGGGCGGGGGGTCTCGTGAGCAACTCAAGTCAGAGAGAATCTCCTCTGGTCGTTAAGAAACAGCTGAAATTTAGTGAGAGCTGCATTAACTTTCCTATTTAACACCTTTGACCTACTGTTCATGCTGTGGCGTTGTAAGGTGAGCAGCACTGGTTTGCCAGACAGTGTGCAGTTCAGAAGAACATGTTCTAGTGTTCACTGCTAGGATGGGAGCTGAAACTGAGAGTCTCCAGGGGTTGGCAACCTACAGCACGCAGGGATTTTTAACAGGATATGCAATAAAAGCGACATGTGCAACAAATAAGACACAAAAAATTAAATGTTAAAAACTGTCCCTGACTGCTCCATACTTCTATACAAAATACTACATAATGAAAGGTCTTTTACACTGAAAAAAACAATTCACTTGGTTTATTTACAGCAGTATTATTTGCGGGGCTTGCCTACAGTTTTCACAGGAAAGCTAGAAATCCGTATCACTGATAACATTTTTCAGACTTAAGTGTAAAGTCAAACATTATAAAGCAGTGGGAAAGGTTTGGCATGCTGTCTTGATGCATTCAAGATCTTTTTGTCAAGAAAAGGTCAAAACTAGCCTGAACTGAATGATGAAAAATGAGTTGCAAAACTAATGTTTTGAACTGACATCACCACGCATATGAATTAACTCAACCTCCATCTGCAGGGTGCAGATCAAACTGCTATGGGTCATTTTGAAATGGGGAAGACATTTCTTGCAAAACTTGCCATTTGTGCTGAGGACATTGACATCTCAACTTTCTGCTATTTCCAACATCTTAAAGAACTTTCAAAACACTGTACAATCTGTGTTGTTCACTTGGAGTGTCCATATGAGAACTGGTATTAACATTTTTGTCCAATTTCAGTACAGTATTTCTAATGTTTTGGCCCGATGTTTTATTCTCTGATTAAACCAGACAGCTTTGATACCAGCAACATTGATTTTTCAGTGTATCAGTGGATGGGTGTTGGGGATTTGGAAATGCACCACACTAAATTTAGCTCAAAGTTAGATATTTGCTTGATTTTGTTTTTTTTAGAGAGATGCCAAACTTCTTGCATTGTGTTCAGAGGGATTTATGATTTTTTTCTCAACTTTCACTTTATCATTTAAACACCAATTTACTGTATTTTTGAGACACAATGTTTCAGATGCCAATAACTTTCCAAGTGGAACAGAGATTTCAAACCACTTACATTTAAAAGATTGCATTTTGATAACTTTTTCAGCATTTGGATCACCATATCTCTGTGAATGCATATTTTCACACATTAAGTCTATTCTCTGTCCCTCCTGTAGCAGGTTAACAACTGAACTCAGCAAGAGAAAGCATGTGTAAGGATCTCACTAAATGGTAAGATGAGCATATTAACTTATTAATTTGAGATATTACTGTATTTTAATATTAAATTTTTATTAATCAGTTCATAAGTAGAGCTATTATTGTTGTTAAAAATGTATCAATGGCAAGCAAATCCATAAAAACAAGTACATGAGCTAACTCTTGACACATTTACTGTATTCTGAAAGGTTGCCAACCCCTGGTCTAATCAATGAACAATCGACAATTACAAATTACAATATTAAAAGAAAGATAATCTGAGATTCAAAGTTCAGTACAATTCATTTAAGAGGGAAAATAATTAATTAAAATTAATTTAATTAGTGAAATAAAAAATTGGGCAAAGCTTTTAGACTGTTAGCAACACTTAAGATTGTTTTAATGCAATAAGTCTCCTTTCCCCATTTTATTTATTGTTAAAGTTTAATGTTTTCAAGCAGAACCATTAAAGTTGTCATTTTGATAACAGCAGTTACTTTTTCATTAAATTATTTTGCAAGTGCAGTTTTCAATTATATGTTAACTACAGGTATCTAATTTTATAAAGAATTACATTATTAATTACTAACTACAATAATCTTTCATGATGTATGCTGTAAACTGCTTTTTGAATGCTTTTTAAAATAAAGGGATTGATATGAAAGGCAATGTAATCTTGGAACATGCAATATTAATGTCATCCTGTTAGAAAAAAGCATACATGCTTCAGATAGAAATTAGTTAACACCATGTCTTCCATCAAAATCCAGAACTAAGAGAAAGGTATTAAACGGTGGTGAACAGGGTTAATTTATACTCCTCTTTACAATTAACTTTTCAAGTTTAGACTCTATTGTATTGCATAAGCTTTATCTGAAAGAAAGTAAGATATTATAGCTAAAGTGGTTTTGTGATAATGCCAAACTGGGGGGGAGTTTTACAAACAAAATATGTCTGCGTATTCTTCACTTGATTGTTTTACAGGCCAGTTAAAACATATTACAAATATTTCTGCTCCCTGGTGTATACTGTATGTTTTATGTATCTTAAATGTTTCACCCTGGAAAAGTTATGTTTTTGCTAATATCATTACCATACATTCACTGATTTCCCTAAAATATATTGATATTCAAGTATTGTGTCATTACTTATCCATCTGGTGATCTATTTTAAGTCAGTTAATTAATACTTTATATTTAAACAAATTAGAGTCCATAAAAAACAAGGATAATGCAAAATTCTGTTGTGGTTCTACTGTACACAAGTCCCTAGACAAAGAACAATTTCCAGCAGTGTTCTTGTAGAGTGTAAGCTGTTAGGATTAATGGTTTGTAGTCTACCACTCTCACATTTAAGAAAAGAACATTAATGAGAAATGAATTTGCTGTGCAAAAGTTGTTCTAGACATGATTCTTGTTAATGCTTCCCATGGGAACAGGTCAAGAAAGGGGTTCTGGACTCCTATTAGCACACTGTTTTTGAGATTTTTTTTATTTTGACAACACTAATGGCACAATGTCTATAAGGGACCTAGAAGGTCTGGAAGACCCTGAAATGTTTAACCAGAAAAGACCTGGTTAAAAATTATTTCAATGAAGTCCTTGCTGTTCAAGGAGTTTCCTTTTTTTCTCCTCACTGAACTCTTGCTAAAATCCTAAAAGCATTATTTCTAATAACAGTAAACTGTATAATGCTCCATCTTATTTTGACTTGTAGTGTATATATATTCAAAATGAATTGGGAGATAGTTATAAATTGTAAATTGTACATAAAAATGTATGAAGAACCATCTTTCAAATTATTTTCTCATGGGGAGATACAGTACAATGAAGAAACTGCATTAAAAAAATGACAAATTCAATAGACTAATCTGTCAGTTGAAACCAATCAGCTCTTTGTTTCCCCTTTTGAGAGTTAGCAAGTTTATTTTTTTAGATGCGGGAGATTTATTACTGTAAAGCTTTTATATAAAACAGTTTAGATGTACAGTGTTTTGTTTGACTATAATTCTGTTCCATGTGCAATTGTTTCTGTTTTCTTGCATTTACAATCATATTTATTAAATGGAACAATTCTCTGTAATTGTGTCTTCATTTTATTCTGTTGATGATTCTTGATACTGTTTTAAACAAATCACAGGAATACATCTGTAGTATTGTTGTTTGAATGCAACAGAGCATTTTGTTATGTAATATTTCTCATCTAAAGTGATAATAGAAAAAAATATAAATGAAAACAGGTAAAACAGTTGTTAATTGTTGTAATGTGTAATGTTCTCTGTTTTTGGTAACTGGACACAGTACCAAAAACAGAATACAGATTATATGGATACAAAATGTATTGAATTCATTTAGTAGATTTTATAAAATATGTGAGACTTTATTTATTATATCATTGCACAAGCCAGATATACTGGAGATACTTTGCTTTGATGCTTTGATTAACATCTAATGAAATAGACAATGAATCTTCCTTGGATAATGAAACAATGCAAGCTTCTTGTTATTGAATTATTTGGAGTTCAATAACAAGAGAGGACAAAACTTTGTACAATTAGCTGATTGTGTTGTTATCACTTTTGCAGCTCCTATCTCATGCCACCTTGTATGTGGGCTCCATTAGTCCCTTCCCCCGGTTTTTGTTCCCTCAGCCATTGTCAGTGCAAGAATTGTACATCCAATTACATCTCATACCACACATACCCCATAGAATGTATCTGAAACTATTCAACATATTATGAAGTTTTTCTTGTTTTTGGTTGGAGAAAAGAGGCATATATTGAAGGAAATTGCCAAATTATGCCACTGTTGAACAGGAGAAATGGAAAAACACATTACTAATGCTTTATGGTTTTATAAGCTAAGATGTGAAGCTTGGAAAAAGACATCAGGTAAGTCAGAGATCAGTGGGGATCCAGAGCAAGGATTGTACAGAGCTTACTTAAAGTGCAATGCGACTAAAATTAATTTTTTTCATGATAATTGATTGTACAGAAGCAGTCTCACAGTGAAGAGCATGCTGTGTCAGGCAATGGCTGTCAAGAGGTTAGGCACTTGTATTAAAGCACATATTTTAGAAACCCAGGTTCTAAATCTGAAAATCATATTATGTAGTATCCTAGAATAACCATAAAAAGTTTCCAAATTTGGTTTCTTAAACATAGTCACCCATCAAAATAATAAAGTTTATAATTAAACATGGAAAACAGAACAACAGCAAATTCAATCATATATAACATATAATTATGA